GCATCTGCGGCTGTGCGGACGCAGGTATGCCTGAGCTGTCGGTCGTGTGACTTCAGGTCAGCGCGTCTGGAACGGCTCACTGCAAAGGGTGGATGACCTTGAACAATGACGCCAGACCGGTCATGATGGCTGCTCGATACAGAGCACTGTGACCTGGGCTATAGTGAGGGAAATTTGCGAAGCCCCTACCTCAGTTAACAACTGCATTCACCATGTTCCAGTGACAAGACGGAGTCAAGACTAGTAGAGGTGGGCGTGGGGGCAGTGGTTTAACGCGGCTGGACTCACGCCTACACGTGCAACATACGCGCTGGTGTCCACAAAGACGACACGGAATTCACTGGTGGCTTAGAATTTTTCGTCACGGAGGGTTGCCACAAAGGGTACACACAAAAGGAACTATTCCTGTCTGACTGCAGTGATTCCATTTTACTCCCCCGGGGGGGGGGGGGTGGGGGGCTTTGGTTGATCCTCATCGTTGTACCCTTCGCTGAAGTAACACAGCCCAAACCCCTTCAACGTGCAACCCTCAGGGCGATACAACACGATGGTTTGATCGTTGCGAAGGACGATCATCACCGTATGGCCCACGGGGTGGGTGCAGGACGGTGACTGGCGCGTCCGTCGCGCTCTTTCCTTCCTCACCCGCCTGTTTTCGATGGCAAAAAAGCCTCAAGACGACCGGAGGCAGGCCCGGGTGCAGTGGCAGACAAAGCTAGACAGTCCATCAGCCCCTGCCACACACATGACTTGTCCCCCCCGTCAAATGTACCAGGCTACTGTAAGGGCGGCCCAAATTTCAGTGACGGGATTGCCATTAAGAGCCACATTGAAATGCAGCCTGGCTCTCAGTCAACGGGAAGGACCAAGGTATCCCCTCAGTTGGCAGCCTTCTTAGCCACGACTCTTGGCGCGTCGTGATTAATTCAGGTACGTCAGATTTGTGGAATGCGCTGGTGTACCGTTAAGAGACCTCGGTGTGTGGATGACGTCAACTGTCAAACCATCGTCTCACTGCGCCAAGGTATCAAAGAAAGCTATGGGTATCCTAGGCGCGATTAGAAGATCCTTCCTCGATTTTGATGAAGAAATTTTCGGCCGAGTATTTGGAGCACTCGTTCGACCAATGTTGAAATATTGTGTTCAGGCATGGTGTCCCTGGACGAAACAAGATTACACCCTACTGGAGAACGTACAACGAAGAGCGACCGAGCTAGTCGGCGGATTAAGTAGCTTACCTTATGAGAGACGCCTGGAAAGGCTTAAAATATTACCTCTCTCTCATATGCAATGAGGATATGATCATGACCTTCAGGGTCGTCCGAGGGCTAGACTGTGCTCTTCAGGTTGACGATTTCTTCGAACTGGCGCGGACGACAAATCTTCGAGGGTACCAGTACAAATTGAAGCTAAAATATGCCAAACTCGAATTGCGGGCCAAATTCTTCTCCCACCGGCTGGTTGAGGAATGGAACAAATTGTCGAACTTCGTTGTTTTAGCGGAAAACGTTGAGAACTTCAAAAGAAGAGTAGATCAATTTATGCTTGATGGGTAAACATTTACAAGTTATCAACGACTAGCATAACTATTATATAAATACCTGCATGTTTTTTTCCAAACATCTATCTCTAAATAGGGTTTTTCAAGGTTCCGCCTCTATCCCTCATATATACTGAATTATACTGAACCGTGAGGGTGGATTCCCGAGTATCGACCCCAGTCTCTCTCTCTCTTCCCTCTCCCATACACCAGTCGACTGCCCGATCCCGTCAGAGGTCCGGGATTGGAAATGAAAGAAATAGCTGACGCTGCGTGAGGCCTGCCTCCAAGCATACCGCCACGGCCCCTCCTGTGAGACAGCAGTTATTGGCTTGTGCGGAGTCTGCGCTGCCCGATTAACACGTGCTGTGAGCCACTTTTGATCCGACGCATCTGCGGCGTGGCCCGTTATGGGAGCTGGCTGGGTAACTCACATTAAAAGGCACGGTCGGTCTCGACCCAGTCAAGACGCGCACATAAAAGCAGCCGACACCGCAACCTCTCTCAGTTGCGATCAGTACGCGACCTTACCTTGCCAGTGTCCACCTCAAAGTTCTGTACACAGTAAGCCTTACATTCTCATGTCTTTCGTCTTCTGTCTCTCTAGCTGAGATTTGACCTGATGTTGTTTTCACCCCAGGCACAGTCACTGTCGGGTCGCCATAAAGTTGTCGGTCTAGATGAGGACCGATTCCCTCCACCATGTAGCAGCCTTTCAGGCCCTGAATTTTGGCGGACTCAAAAGTTCAGAAGACGAAGATGCAATCATTGGAACAAGAAATTTCTTGGGCTGACGTTTCGGATTCTCACTCTTACCCATCATCAGAGACAGTCGCAGATAATTCAACAACCACGGTTGCTGAATTACAATATTTTCGACTGGCACTGAGAGCCAATGGCTTCCCGCGCAAATTTGTCAACCAGTGCATATGAAAACGACACCAGAGACCAAATCCTACCGGCCCCAAATTTTGGCGGGCTCTTCCGTACGTGAAGAACGCCTCGGAAGCCGTCAGTCGTCCTCTCACTCCGCTTGGAGTTGGGGTTGCACACAGGCCGGAAGCAACCATTAGGAGCCAAGTCATGAGACCGAAACGCCCACTGTCACTGCAGGGAACGTCTGGAGCCGTTTATCGGATCTGGTGCAGCTGCGGACAAAGCAACTACATCGGAGATTACTCCGCACGCGAATTACCGAGCACGCAGCAGCAGTGAGACGGGGAGACGTTAGTTCTCAAGTGGCGGTTCATTCGACGGGACCCGGCCATATTTTCAAGCTTCAAAAGGCCGAAATCCTCGCAAGGGGTGATAACCGCGTGAGCCGCGAGCTACTTGAGTCATGGCTCGTATGACCGCAGTCCATCAACAAGCGCAATGACCTCTGCTTACCGCATTCTGTGCTGATATTTCCCCTGGGCAGGGGGGTCAGTCACGTGGGAGGGCGCGGGCGAGCAATAATCCCAGTGACAGTGAGCCAATTTGTCGAGCAATCGTCACACCAGCATCCAACACGTATGACGAAATCGCGACAATTAACGACTCGGACGCGGACTGACAAGACATCATAGCATTACTTACGACCCCAGCGGTGATTATGAGATCTGTTAGTTACAGTGCGCATATGGTCACATGGCAGCCACGTGCTATAAATACTGCAGTCCTTGTGCCACTATTACCCTTATCTGCGACTGTCTCTGATGATGGATTCGAGTGAGAATCCGAAACGTCAGACCAATAAATTTCTTGTTCCAGTGACCGCATCTTCGTCTTCTGAACTGCCTGCTGGAACTCGCCTGCTCGCTTCTATCAGGTTCAAAAGTTGTTCGCGTCGGGGCCATCTTCTTCCGACAAGATGGCTAAAGCTCCTGTCTTATGTTTGCTACACGTTCAACAATAAAGCCCGGGGAGCTGCATCTTTTGGCAACGTCAACGAATGCGCCTTCTACCCCATAAAAGCAGAAGGAGTATACGGTAGGGAGGGAGATGTAGAGGGCCGGGGAAGTGGATCAGGAGACAGGGGACCTCAGGGCTTATCCGGGGGAGTGTCCGGGACAGCAGCTATTAGACGGTCGAAGTTCACGACCTCCCTGAGAGTTCCGCGCTGGATACGGAAGGTCTTCGCCAGACGAGAGATAAACCTGAAGGCGCCGTCGTAGGATGTTCCAGTGGCCGGCAGACTCCATCCGATCGGAGAGAAACTCGAGAGCATTTCGTCGAGTCTTTCTTGAGATAAGACTCAGAGACTGATGGCCTGGGAGGAACCGGGAAAGAGTCCACATGAATTGCCGGAGATTGTTCAGGAAGTTAGTAGGATCCTCGACCGCATCTCGTGGGGATGGCGAGATCATCTGGCCGGGCAGTCGGACGATGGCAAGAAACACGATTTCAGCGGTGGGACAGTTAAGGTTCAACTTGAGGAAGAAGCGGATGCCCAACAGGACCAGGGGGAGGTGGTCCGTCCATTCCTCCGGATCGACTGCGGCGTGTAGGGAGGCCTTCAGCTGGCAGTGAAACCGCTCGACCATCCCGTTGACTGCCGCATGATAGGCTGTAGTGCGAATGCTAGTACAGCCTAAAAAGGAGAGGAGACTGGAATAGGCGACATTCAGATTGGCCACCGCGGTCAGTCGTGATAGTGGAGGGGGCACCGAAAATGGCGTCGCCTTTTTTGTTTGGTGTTTCTCGACATGGGCTTAGCCTGGGGTGGCACTGTCGATCGTCTCGGCATGCTAAAAGCGAATTAAAGTGCTTAATTTAAAAGCGCCGTCACGGTTTTCACCACCAAGTCCTAATACAGATTTTTATCTGGTGCATGAAGAGGAGGCACTGTCGTGTCAGCTTAAGCCATGGACAGACGCTAGCCACTACGGCCTTCAGGCCCGGTCCCGAATACAAACAGAAGGTGTTAGACACCAGTTGAAAAGATACCGTATTCTGTACAGAAGGATTGGAGAACCGGTTAGAACAACTTGACAGCTGGACAAGAGAACAGGTCCGTTGCCGTAGGAGCGGCGTCCCGAGTAGCACTGCGAACACGTCACAGCGCCTTGAGCGAGAGCACGCACGCCTGATCCGGCCTGGAAGATGATTGGCTGAGAACCAGGCTGCCACCGGCGCTCATGTGTAAGTACTTGCGAGAGGCTCTGTTGCGGCTCTGTCAGCCGCTGCGGCCAATCCCCGCACCAGATAGCTGACAGGCACGGACAGTCGGCTGGCGCGCAAGAGACTCTGGGGACCCCATCTCAGGGCACTTCAGCACATTCCCAACCTTAATGAGTCTGACGTGCTAAAATCTATCACGACGTGCCCAAACGTCGTGGATTGCAAGTATGCCAACAGACGGTACGACTCAGACCTCAAAGTCAGCCCTGTGAGTGCTTGGATGGAGTGACTACTCAGTGGACTGAGAGACAGGCCCAGTAGCCACTCTAAAACGTGTGAGACCCGAGCCGTCCATACACTTATTTCGAAAATCTGGCGTCCCGCGCGGGGGCAGGTCGTATGTGGCACGCGTAGACGGACTGTTTAGCTCCGTTAGTCACTCGCGCCCAAGCCCAGTATCAGTTGGCTGACCAGCAGTGGACTTTGGCGACTGCGCCCCACAGCACTGCACTGCGTTTCTACATGCTAAACAGTCCGGCGCGCCCTAAAACAATCACAGTGTATCAAAAACCGCGGCTTGGAAGACTGCCAACTGACGGGGATAACTCGGTCCACCTCTCAGGACGGAGAGTTGGACTGCAATGTCCCCCTTTTAATGGGACCTCTATGGCACTCCCACTCACTTGGGGTTCGAACTTCGTCGTTTCCGTGACACTTTGGTCCTTTGTGCGTAGGTGTGGCAGGCGCAGACGGGTCGCTTAACTTCGTCAGTCACTACACCCGGCCCCGCCTCCGGTCTCCCTAATCCTTTCTCGACATCAGGTCCAGATGCGTGGGGAAGGAGAGCGTGTGTGGTGGAAACTGCACAAATTTACTGACCAATTCATGCTGAAGCCGCCGTTCCTGTGACCTCAGTGCTGCGGAGCACATTCTGCACATTGTGATTCTTAATGGTCAAACTGTCACGGATGAGGAGGATGACGAACAGACAACGGAAGCAACGGCAGTGTTCTCATAGCTGGTTCTACGATGCCGGAACTCGCTGATCCGTACGTCTGCACGCGATTTAAATGTGGTTATTTGACGCAGGCAGCGCGCTAATTGCTTCTGTTTACCTAAAAAGTAAAACTGAATGACCGGTGTAGAGGGGAACTTGGCGGAAGTCACAGCGGGATAGTAGGGTCTGAGCGGATGAAATGCTCGGTACGTTCGCCATGTCAACTCCGAAGGAGGTACTGGTGATTTATAAGTAATCCGTTCATTCTTCCCAGAAAAATGTCTTCGGGACTTTGCTTTCAGCGGTGC